GCAGGAATCTTTATTTTTGAAGCCTTGACGGCTCTCCTACACAGGCTGGTCATGCTGCTGTGATGTTCTCTCCCGCGATACCGACGGCCATGTCTGCCAGTGTGCGAATGCAGCTCTTGATGTGAGAGTTCAGATTAATCCAACGAATGCAGCACATGATCGGCATGGACACGCCAGTGTTGCTTTCCCATACCCACACTGTTACCGGCACTTAAAGTGGGCCTGTTCCATTTTGCTACAATGACCCTGGACGCTCATAGAGTACACTTACACTTCTCTGCTAAATGAATACATTTAATGAATTATAGATTATTTATGGGTGTTTTCTCTTCCAAACGGTAGTAATATCTGCAGATAAGTAGCTTCCTGGTAATACTGGCCTAATATGCAGGAATAAAAAGTTCTAGTACACGACTCTGAGCAAATTGATTTGTCCACTATGTGTAGGATTTGAACCTGTGACCATCAGGTTGAATTTTTAAGTACGCCCAGTGACAAAGAAAGTGATGCACCCAGAAGTAATGGTCCGATTTGGATGTAATTTGGCACATGTGCAGATCAGCCATGGACATGTAAATGGTTTGATTTGCAAGGAGCTGGCACGTCTAGTCACCAGACACAGAGGATGCCTCGTAGATGTATTAGACAGCATTACCAGCACTTGACAGAGTTTGATAGTGGTCGCATTGTGGGTTTGCAGGAGGCTGGGTGGTCGTATCGTGCAATTGCCCGGCATGTGGAGCATGCAGATGTCATAATCACCCGATGTTGGAACCAATGGGCACGTGAGGGCATCCACACACGTCGTGAAGGTTCTGGCCGCCCAAGACAGACCACACCAAGGGGGGATCATCATATTGTGCGGAAAGCATTACAGAACCACTTCACATCTGCGCTTGCCATCCAGATACAGGTATTGGACTCTCTACAACACCCCGTGTCATCCCACACCGAGTCTCGATGACTGGCATCAGCCGGACTACAAAGACTACAAAGATGGCTGCGTGTGGAATGGTGCCATAACCGGGAGGCATGGACTGATGATGAGTGGCATTGTACCATGTTCAGTGATGAATCTCAGTTCTGCATTACCACAGATGACCATCATGTGTGCATGTGGAGGCGCCGAGGTGAGAGGACCAGTCCTGCCAGTGTTGTGGAGAGACACACCAGCGCTACCCCTGGCATCATGGTGTGGGGACCCTGACTGCACAGCGCTACATCAGTGACATCCTGTGTCTGCATGTCTTACCCCTCCTGAGACAGCACCCTAGTAAATCTTTCAACAAGACAACGCCCGTCCACACGCATGGCACGTACTGTGTGTCTACGGAGTGCCTGTGTCATGTTGAGGTCCTCCCATGGCCAGCCAGGTCCCCTAATCTTTCCCCATTCGAACATGTGTGGGATCAGCAAGGACGTCAAGTCAGACCCAGTGCCAATCTGCAGGATCTCGAGTGTCAGTTACAGTAGCTGTGGGCTGACTTGCCGCAGGAGAGAATGGCTGTACGACGCCCTTCCGCACCACATCGCTGCATGTATCCAGGCCCGGGGGGGGGGTGCCACACCCTACTGACATGGGACCAGCAGTGTGCCCATCCTGCCAACTCTGTTGTCCGTTTGATCTGATATTATAATCATTGTGATACAGTCACATGACCTTTAATCACGTACAGATTCAGTTCATTTACACTCTGTCTGGGTGCTTAACTTTTTTCGTCAATCAGTATATTTGTAGCAAGATGTAATTATTGAATAAGGTGTTGGACCTGAACCCCTATATTTGTTGCTTTGGATAAAATCCATTTTCCATAAAGGCTTTACCCAATGCAGGCTACCAGTGGGCCTGGATCCTATCTCAGGAAGAAGCAAGATGAGGCAGAGGAAGGTCTCAACGGGACGCCGGTCCATCGCAGAGTCATGCACTCTCAGCCCCGTAGGTGTGAAGCTACAGCACAGCTGCTTGATGCAAAGTGTTTCTCACGCTGTCTGATGTGAAGTGGCATCACTCGCAGGGCTCATGCACGCCCCCCATGCCGCCCCCCCCTGTCTCCTGCCCGGGCCTCCCGTCACCAGAGTACACAGACCGGCCTTTCAGCACCCTGCCGATACTATGGGGGCGGGGGGACGTGGGCATTTTTTGATGGGTCAGGGTGCAGCTGTGACCAGTTTCTCCTGGGCTGCCTTATCTGGTTCCGGAGATTCCAAACACTCTCTGTTCGCGGTTTGAAAATGAGAATCAAATATCACCCCCCCCCCCCCCATGCAGCCCCACATTGGCTGGCTGAGATTTTTCAGCACATCGACAAATTAATTAGAGTCTCTCAATAGACGATCATCTGCTATTTAATTTAAATGCAAATCGCTGCCTTATCGGGACACTGTGGAAGGTTTTTTGGTTTAAGTGATGCTTCCTTTTTGTGGTGAAGAATCAGTCCCCCTCCCCCCCCCAGCAATCCTCGTTTGCACCTGTCTTGCTGCTGAAGCTGCATTATCTATTCCAGTGCTTCAGTGCCCTGCTCCTTATTACCCGGCCGGTAAATAAGAAGACAGAAGCAATGTCAGATACATTCGCAGGGGTGAGGAAGGGTGTACCTCCGTCCCGGGGAATGGTGAGACGTGGATGTGAATGTAGCCCTCCCCGTTATAGGGTCAGACCCCTTAGTGTGAGGGATGACCCCAGTCACAGCGGGGGAGGGGGGACAGGGCCAAAAGAATGGGGGGGGAGGTACAGGCCATTACATGAAAGCTTATACTCTGTTTTTATTTCTCATTGTAATATTTCATTATTTCAAGTGAATCAGTTATCCCTTCACATGCAACCTGTATTGTAGGGATTGGGTTCTACCATCTTAACAAAGAAACGTCTCCCCCATTAATTTATAGTCATTGGAATGAATATATACCCAGTGACATATTACTGGCCCTATATAACTCTATGTAACATATAACTCCCAACTGATATCTACCCAGCATTTTCACGGACCTTCGTTTGGCAAGCTGTGAGTCCTTCAATGCGGGTTTCTGCGTCAGGGGGGGCCTCACCCGCCAGCGTCTGTGCAGCAGCAAGGGCAACATCAGTCAATTATGTAACAATTATCCTGGCGGGGGGAGGGGGGTGACCTATTTAAGGTCTTTAGCAGAGGCCTGTCAGCCATTTAGTCCAGCAGGTATTGTTCGCAAAAATATGAACTAGTCCTTGAGTCTGGAACCTTCCATACTCTGTTTTCTCGCCTTCTTATGTAATAAACCTCCGGAGACACCCTGCCTCTCAGTCCTGCCTCCACTTGACTCCGGACGCAGTACCTTCTGAAACTTATGGATAAAGACTGTGAAATCTCCTTAAACTTTGTGGCTCTGCTGCCTTCAAGGTTTCATTTAAATTCAAGGTAAATGGACACACAGATAGATGTCAGTAACGAAACTCTTACTCATGAGATATAAGCCTTTTATGACGCAATTCCATCATTAAGAAAGTAACATATTTACAAAGATGATGCAAAGAAATTCTCTTGTTTTTTTATTATTCGAACCTACTTTTTTGACTTAGATTGGATTTAGTAATATCTTCTGTGAACGGATCCCCATAATATGCGATGGCAATGATTTTGACTGCTGGTGTAGTCTATAGTTTAACTTTCAGCATAGTACACTTCGCATAAACATATAAGCTACAACCACCGTAAGAGCTTGTCCCTCGTTACGGGACCATTAACTGATAAACACTAAGCATAGGCTACGCAACCACTGTCTCTGATGAGTGCAGTAGCCTTACTGATGATTCCACATGCATGCGCAGAGAGAAAATAAAACTGCCGTTGACCTTTGTCAAAATAAAAGCTCCCATTTCTACCTCAGGGCATAGGATGGCTTAAGGCTTCTGTATTTCACAGTCTACTAATAGGAGAACATTTTAGACCAGGGTTATTCAACTCACGGTCCTCGAGGTCCGAGCACTGCTGGTTTTCCAGCCTTCCTTTACCTGTCAGTCAGGTGTGAAGCCTCTGACCAATCAGAATCAGTAATTATTAAACTAATTACCTGGGAGAACTGAAAACACGGCCTGAATTTGGAATCGAGGTCCAGAGTTGAAGAACCCTGTTTTAGACAATATCAAAAATAAAATAGCTCTGAAATATCAATCAGGTAATTCAACTAAAATAATAAACCTTTCAGGTGGTTATTTACATTCTGCTCTTCTGTTACTGGATAATAAGAATCATCTGGAATAGTATTAGCATTTTAAAAACGTAATGGCCATAAATGTCTGCTATAACCCTGCTGGCTGCCTGCAGAATGCTACCTGCCACATGGGGGCGCCAGCATCCTCGTTCACAAGCACTGCTCTCAGCACTCCATGTACAGAAAACAAATGGCTTGACAGGGCACCCGGTCTCCTCGGAAGATGGCCAGTGGGGGGGAGGGGGGAGGGGGGGGTTGTGGACATCGACATAGATCAAGAATCAGCGCGTGTGTTTGTTACAGCCAAGGGCCACTGGGGGCTTCAGGGGGTTGTACTGGCCAGTTTTAAGTACTGGTTGGCTTACCCCCCTCCCCTTAATTTACACCCATGGTTACAGCACATTCTGGGGAACGTGGCATCAGAGAGAGAGTCCTCAGTGCCACGTTGCCATTCGGTGTGGCTGATGGAATCCCAGAGTCTATGTGGAGAGGACACTGGAATATTACCTCATATCTCATTTCTGAGAAGATTCAACCACACCGGGGCTTCGTACTCATAGATTCAAATAACTACCCTGCCTACAAATCCCCAGCCTTAACATCCAAACTGGTGAAATCCAATCTACTCCACTCAGTTTCATATTTCTGCTTTCAAATGACCTTGTTATTTTTAACTTAAAAGGAGTAGAGAGGAGTAATGAATCTGGAAAGTACCGATATACACTAACATAACACTTGAACTCTTTCATCTCTTTATTTGTGAGATGTTTTTACTTTGAACAACAGCAGCACAGCAAGGGAGGAACAGAGAGCCGACAAACACAAAAACGTTTATTTTCAACATGGCAATGGCTCCACCACATGGACAGACCAAACACCACCCTCGTCCTTCACTAGCCAATAGTTTATTATCAAATAAATGCTTTATGCTTTAAAGCTAATCTATGTTTACCACATAAAATACTTTGTACACATACACACATATAGCCAAACAATAATAATGGGTCATTTTGCATCCAAAAACTAATTTAAGGTTACGTGATTTTCCACGTTATAACAAATTTATTCTTTTTTTTCTTGAGCACAAAAGTTTGTTCCTGACCACACTGCAGGGTTTGGAGTACAGTTTTAGGCTGTAGTGGTTCTACATATCTCTGTGGTACCTGCTTGGGAAAGATCTCACAAAGCGTCCTTCATTGTTCTACTACTGCAAAGTGAGAAGCTATACGGAATCTTTATTCTCATTTATTCTCAGAGATGGACAGGACAGCAACAACAACAGCTGAAAACTACAGGGTTGCTAACTTTCACACATCTGGCGTGACACATGCTTTCGGACTCTCACGCTCACGCAAGAAATCTGACGGCAAATCTATGTCATTCCATTATAAACCTAAAATTGGCAACATCAGAAGCGTTGGGACAGTTTGCAAACCTTACAGACTATTTACAAGGTACTAAAACTGTTACGTACACGTAAATGAGTGAGCAGACTAATCATTTATACTTTGGGTGTCTGTCATACTGACTGCTAAGGTCAGAGGGCAGAGGTCAAAGCTAAGTAGATGGATTCTGCTACGTATTCCAGGTTCTGGCGGTTAATGGCTGTCACGTTCACACACCCATCTGGCAGCAAGTATAGGTGCCTCTTCCTGGCCAGGAACCTTACTTGTTCAGCTAAGAAAGAAAAACAGATCTTAAAAAATAGAATTCAGTTTGTATTTACGTGTTTCCAGAATCTTATTTGTGCATCTTTCACTCAAGAACATCTGTCACACTTTTCAATAAGTCAGTGATATCAGAGCACTAGACAGTTTCCAAAGTGTCATGGATTTCACGTCTCCCTCGTCACATGACGCGTGACACGTTTGGCTTTTGGCAGGGGTAAATGCGGCTCGGGGAAGAGTGAAAGACAGGCCATTAATGAGAGGCAACAGGCACGGTCAAGGGAAGAGTACAGTTTACTGAGAGGGAGAAGTGATGGACATGCTTGGGGGAAATGCAGTTTCAGACCTGGGTCAGCATTTAGCAAGACATTCATGCACAGTACAGAGTAAGAGAGCTGCAAGTATAAGCAACATGCAGAGCAACAAAACATTTACACACAAGCACAGTCCCTATGTCAGGGCTATTCAATTCAGGCCCTCGATTCCAAATCCAGGCCTTGTTTTCAGTTCTCCCAGGTAGTTAGTTTAATAATCACTGATTCTGATTGGTCAGAGGCTTCACACCTGGCTCACAGGTGAAGGAAGGCTGGAAAACCAGCAGGGCTCGGACCTCGAGGACCGTGAGTTGAATATCCCTCCCTATGTTAAAAAGGCAGGGCGGTTCACATTGAAATGAGGACGATAGGCTCACCATTTAGGCCTGTGCAACAATACAGTCCACCCTGCTGTGTCAGGTGATCCCAGCGTCCAGGCGTTCCCAGGAGCCTCAGCTTCTCCAGAAGCTGCTCCCTAATCAGCAGGCAGCGTTCGGCTAAACCTCTTATGGCGTCACGCCTGTGTGACACATTTCGCACATGTTATCACGAGGGTAATTGTTCCCTGTAACAGGGGGGAAAAGCACATTTGAATAAATGGTAAAGTTTTACATTAACTGCACCTTCGTAATGCTTTTATATTGCATTCATAAAATGTTCAGTGCACCTTCATAATGTATTCAGAAATCATTCATAAACATCATGTATGTGTACCTTAACATCCTAACATCCCTTAACAGCTGTAATATACATTAATAACAAACACTATATAATAATAACAAGCATTATAATTGTATAATCATGTAATGTTTGCTATTAATGTATATTAAAGCTGTTAAGGGATGTTAAGGTGTACTTGCATGCTGCTTATGAATGTTCTATGAATGCATTATGAAGGTGCACTGAATGTAAAGCGTTACCAAATAAATCTACACCCACTGTTTATTTGGTAGATAGATAATCATCACATACCACTCGGCGAGGTAGGCAGGGTTACCCAGCACCGTGGCAACCACACGGGCACCCAAAACAGTGGGCCGGGCCCACAGAGAGCGCACCAGGCTATCCGCCTGCGACTGGACCGCCAGAAGCACAGAGTTCTGCTTCAGCACGAGCAGGAGATGTCCAACCCGCTCCCCTGCACGATCGCATGGGAAAGCGATGTCTGACACCAGGGTTTAGCAAGAGGTCGCTATGAATTTCGAGTAACTATTTGCAGACAGAGGCTGATAAGTTATTGAAGCGTTGTAGAGATCGGGAGAACATGGCCGTCATACCGTAGAGGCTGAAGCTGTGGGAGAAGGACTGGGCACAGAGGAACTCCAGGCCCAAGGAAGCGTAGTGGCGTAGGGGCCAAGCATCCTGATCTGGGTCCCCTAGGCAGAGGCCCTGGGCTGGCAAGAGGAAGAACGGGAGGAGCCTCCTGCTCTGGGTGTGGCGAAATGGGGAAGGGGAGGTGCAGCATGTCTTTAGAGGTTAATCTTAGCAAAATATAGCTACAGAAACAGCCTCAATCCAAATCATTCCATAGACCACAATTCAACTGCTTCACCAAAGGTCCCAAAAGTAGCCCAATGCGATACGTTGTTGATATTACTTGCATTAACTGAGGCTTAATCCCTGAGCGCTTGGTGGTGGCTCACGCCCATTTAAGGATGCCACCTCCTTTGATTAATTTCCCCCTGGGATCAATGAAACTTATTTTATCTTACAGGCAAGATTATCAAAGATAATCGAACATCAACAGCATCATTGCATTTCCATTTGTGTACAGAACAGGCAGATGCATGCCGTAAACGACAATTACATTTTGGTAAAATAAATCAACTTCCGTCCACCTGTAACAAATTATAGAAAATACAACAAACACAACGATGCCTGCAGATCAAATCGGTTTTACCGCCATAACTTCAGCGAGGGCTGACCAGTCCTGCTGGGAGAGGTCGGCTCCCGTCGGACAGTGTGCAGAGGCTGACAGCATCACCACGGAATGTTCCGGGGCCTGCTCCAGGTCTTCCGTGAGCTTGTCCATGGACACGACCCGTTGCTCCGCATTCCAGTATCGATACTGTCGGACATCCAGGATCCCAGCAGCCTTGAGGGTGTCAACCAGTGAGTCTTAAGGCAGAAATGGGGGGGGGGGGATATAATATATAATGTTTGGATATAATGTTGTAGGTCTGTACAGTTTAGGTTGGGTGAACAGGATTGTGAATATAGCGATGAAACAGTAAGCTTTAAACCAAAACAACTGAAAAGCAAATGTCTAAAACGTACTCAGTCCACATGATATATTTCAGAGAAACATTCTGTGGAGTTTAATGACAGGCCTTCTTTGTATTTCATGAGGACTGAGTGAGTTTTAGTTCCCAGCACTGTATCATATGATCAGGAAGCTACTGACGGTCTAATCACAAAAACAACAAAGTTGAGTTTTGGAAATGTGCTCTTCAATTAAAAAACCTTCAGCAAGAAATTCATACAATACAAATGATGCAAATATTGTCACCTCTAACTTGCCATAAATTTATATCACAATTAAAACAAGTAATAACAGTAATATTTCTGTGGTTCTACACTAATTTCCCATCAGCCTCTACTCCAGTGACACCGCCTCCTACTTACACACCTACCATGACAGGGTAAAGCGACATACACAGGGCCGGACCAGGCCACACTCCTGTTGTACCAGCGTCTCAGAAGCTCTGTCCCCAGCCGGACTCCCCCCATGAATCCCACGGTCTGGACACCCAGCACCTGAAGGGTCCAAACCCACACAAAGTGACCCCATGACCCAAAAGGGAAGCTACCCTCGGTAGATCTCAGCTATTCTGCAGACGGTTAGCATTCCGTCACAGCACTCCTGATGTCCTTCAGCAGCAATGATATATTCATCACACCAAGAACAGAAGCTTCCAGACCACATATATTATCTTGGAGGTTTGTTATTGTTTGTGGTCACTTGACTATTCTATTGTGTCAAAGTGATTGTGCTTCTGGAATTTGTATGAGTGATGTGATTAATCACTTGGCTGCCCTTGAGAAACGCTGAAACACAAGCCTGTTAAATCATGTCTGGATTTTGTGACACCCACCCGGTTTTCCACAATAGCCTGGCTGTCCTTTCCCAGTGCCAGCTCGGTGACTCTCCTGGTGAACTCCGGCAGGCCCAGACCTGGTGGGTACTCTGTGCCCAGGGTGGGATCACTTCCTATCTGCTGCTTAATCTTCCAGGTAAGAGGGAGCACAGAGATCTGACCATCCTCACCCAGATACTCTGCGTGAAAGAAGCAGAGAGAACGCTACGTGTTACATGCAGTACATATTGAATTGAGTTTAAAGTTGGAAAGGTTACATTTCATTTATAAAGCCCAGATTTACATATACTGCATGCAGAATTATATATACGTGCTTTATGTGTGTATCTTATTTTCCAACCAACAGTTTCTGTTAATGATAAATCTCCAAATAAGAATGGACCTGCTTAAAAATAGAGCCTGTTCAGTGTTTGGTTTGAGTACTTCCTGCTTGGAGTAAAACAGGAAACTAGTTACCACCATGGACAGAATTATTAAGCAAATTATTATTACAGTACTATTAAAATGGCCCAAAAAATACCTTACAGGGAACGGAGAAAACAAACAAAATAATTAAGTGCTGGTCGCAGGGATGCAAAACCATCAAAATGGCCAAATTTTTAAAACATGATCACTGTACATTTGAGCCAACAGCCAAAGACGATAGCAGAAGCATGTAGGAAGAGGACATAAATGAACTGGCAAAGATTTGTGCCAAATTAAAGGGGAGACTTCCAGAAACTCCGCCATTTTTCAAAGCTGCAATCTGAATGGATTCTCTAAGTACAAGGTGCAGTGAGTGAAGTGACACTGCTACGGTCACAAAGGCTGAACCGTAAGGTAAGGCGGTCCTAGCTGCCTCACCTGAACCGTAAGGTAAGGCGGTCCTAGCTGCCTCACCTGAACCGTAAGGTAAGGCGGTCCTAGCTGCCTCACCTGAACCGTAAGGTAAGGCGGTCCTAGCTGCCTCACCTGAACCGTACGGTAAGGTGGTCCTAGCTGCCTCACCTAATATAGGATGTGATCAAACTTCACCGATTCAATGGACGACAGGCTCATGATGGGTATTAAGAAGAAAGGTAACTATATAGGACATTAAACTCAGTATAGTGGACTGTAACAAATGACTGATAGTTTGTTATTCCTTATATACACTGAATAACTAAAACTCTATTATTAATTATGTTAACGGTTAAGAGAGAGAAATCCACTTAGTTCCTGATCGACCTAATAATTGTGCACACTGATAATCAAGTGTTTTTAATTTGTTCCTGACATACTCATGTAGCATTTTTCTCTGTAAATAAATTTACCTGGAGCAAAAGCAAACTTCAAAATGAACTTTTATGAGTCTCCTGCAGTAGAACTTGTCTAATAATTCTGCCTTTGGTCCATCAGTAGGACCCGAGAGGAATTCTAATTTCTTTGTTAGAGCGCTGAGAAAATGTCCTGTTTTCATTATGTATCTGTATTAAACATGTTACTATATTACGGAATAATATTCCTATTCATAAAACAGAAACTGGAGTAAGGCTAATAGCTAACCCATCACGAAAACTGTCATGCATAATGATTAAATATTCTAACACTCAGCCAGCTATTGTTGACTTGTAGTAACACTTTACTTAAGGGGGCACAAATAGTATAGCATATTATACTCTTAACCATATTGTAAAGTGTTAGCTAGCTGGTGTTCCTCTCAGGAGCAGCTTCTTATGTCAACGGGGAAGCTCAGCACTGCATGCTAGGTGATGTGGCAGGTGGTTCCAGGCACCGTGAAACTTTACGATACGGTTCCTCAGTAACTTAGTAGTAACACAGTTACTACTCAAGTACTGTACAAATCATTGACCAATATAGTTTGTGGTTAATTTACATATCAAATGAGCGTTAGTTCATGATTAGTTAAGAGTATAATACTATATTTGTGTCCCCTCAAGTGACGTATTACCTGATGTGTTAATGCTAGCGATTTATAGGCATTAGAGCGTTTCCGGTTTCGTTACTCATTTAGTAAAAATAATAGAAAATTGGTCAGTAAGAGAAATCCCGCTGCAGACTCACCCCTTCCCGCCAGGTACACTTTATCAGGGTGTGTGTCATTTTTGAAAGCTGCCAGTAATTTCGTTTCAGGATTCAGTGGAAGAGTGGGAGTGTCAATAAAAGCAGAATGAGTCGTCATAGCTCTCTAACTTGTAAATCTGATCGTAACCTTTTCCGTTTCTACATGACATTGATTTTGCGCGATAAATTTGCGGTTCGTTGGCTGCCTGAAAGCGAGTTTTGTTTATTGCTTGTTGCTAAGTTACAGGTGTCGGTCGTTGCCTGGTAACGATTATAATATATTTTTTCCATTTTAATTATCACGAACTAGCTAGATATATTGTTTTGCCTATTTTGCTTGAGATTATGGACACAACTGCACAATGTAATTAATTGTTTACATCACAACCATGACATTGATATCTGCTAAAACAAGCTATTTGCTTTTAATCACTCACTTTATGCTGCTACTGTACTAGGCACCTGTAAATGTCCACTCTTGTATATATACATATTTCTGTATATTGTAGTTTTTATTGCTATAGGTTACATATTTATTAATTTATTATAGGTTATCACATTTATTTATTATACATATAATTAACATAATATTACTTTATAATTAGTTTATTTATTTTTTGTATATTGTATAACTGCTATGAGTAACAGGCTATACTGCGTTCACTCCTATTTTTTGTCCAATTTGCTACTTATCATATGTTATGTGATAATGGATTATTATTAGTAGTAGTAGAATTAATACTATCATTATTAATTACATAATTCATAATTTGTATACACTTACAGTTAACCCTTATTCTAAGTTTCTCAGGGTCAGCACCCGTCCTCCTCAACCTTTTGTGTCCCCCCCCCCCCCCCCATTTGGCCAGCAGATGTCGCTGGCCATCCAGTCCTCCCTATTGTCCAAGTCCTCAGTGTATTATTCAGTTTGTCAGTGTGTCAGAAGGGTAGATGTTACTCTGTGCTGCATTATGTTTGCGCTATATTTCTTGTAGTTAGTTATTTTTCCTATTTTGCTTTTTGACCCCTCGTGGTCCTCTCCTTTGTAGTCTTACACCAGTGTATTTAATTTCCGTAATAAATCCCCTTTGCGTCTCAGACAGTGCTTGAAGTGGGCCGGAACGCAGTTCCGGAACTTCTGTATTTTCGTCTTTTGGGTTCCGCCGCTTTTTTCTGCGTTCCGGTACTTACTGAAACTGATCCGACGCAGCGACAGTGGCCCGAGAAAATTAGAGTTCCTGCACTTATTTTTTCCCACTTCAAGCACTGGTCTCAGAGTCGCTAGTGGATCATCACCCCCCTTTCCTGCCTGCACCATGCCCCACTCCCATGACACAATTAGCAATTCGGCTTTTACTAGTATGTTCCATCAAATATAAAGTAAAATAAAATACGGAAAATCACGTCTAGTTATGACAATGACAGACCTAAGAATGCTGCAGAGCGGGGTTTTTCGATTACTGGGATTATGAAAGTGAAACACAACAACCAGAGCCTGGGTACTCGGAGTTAGACGGGCAGCTCTTCACCTCCCGGGATGCGGGCTGACTGACGCTGTTGATTAACTCTGCTTCTAAATCCAGTTAAAGGGGCAGCTCACCCCAAAATAATGATAAGATATCAGAAGATATATCAGTCTTCTCTCAAAAATAATTGGGCTGAATGGTATTGTGTCTGTAGTGATTAAGTTGCCAAAAGTGCACTTGAAAAATCCAACAGCAATGTCTTTTACCAGAAATCATGACACGGTTACTCAAGATAATCCACAGACCTTGTAGACAGCAGTTTCATCTATTAACTGTTTTCTATCTAAGGTTACTGGAAACACCGCTAGGCTGGACTATTCAATCCAATAGGTACCATAGCCAATTTCTCAGGGGTGCTGACTTGATGTGACTTGTGCATGGCTTCCTTGCACCCCTACAAGTACTCGTGTCCTCTGAGGTACCGGAACAGAACAGCAGCATGACCTGAGGGGAGGGAAATGCTGTTAGGTTAGCTTGGTGTGACCAAAATCAATAAATAAAACAGTGAAGCTCACTCACGGTGCCACTTCTGGCCCCAAATCTAGGAAATAACTTCCACGGAATATGCAAATGTGCGGCACTACTCAGGGGCCAGTCTAGGCACTCTGCGGGGCCCCAGGCAAAAAAAAAATAAATCCCAATGGGGCCCTCCAACAGACCTTCCCCCAGCATGGCAAATTTATTACCATTATTTTAACCTGATATCTAAATGAATAATAATAAAATGATAATAAACACAACTCCTTTATTTTCACTTCTGTGAGAAACAGAACACACATAAGCAGATTTGTTGTTGCAATACATTATGTAATCAGCCACCCTTGGGGGCCCCCTCCCAGCTCGGGGCCCCAGGAAGTTGCCCGTCTCATCGGTCCTGTTGCTGTGCCACTGGTGCTGCATTTCTACATTAAGAACCTTCCCATGTTGGCATTTCTCCTATTTTGTGTTTTAAGTATGCCAAGCTTACATACTAGATCATTTCATGCATTCTTCATGTTTAGATGTAGAAAGTTCTACAAGCACTGTGTAGTTTGTCTCTTGGCCACAGTAATGCTGTTCAGACAAATGCCGTTCATAGACTGTTACCCGACGCCTACGTCGTCTTTCCACCCACAATTCCCGATCGTTGAGTTCCTTGACTTATACTCATTTTGGCCACAACAAATCACATCGTGTGACTTTCCAAACCTCTTCGTACATTTTCTGTGTTCCTTCAGGACGGGGAAAAACATTACAGCGCTTGGACAAGGAACAGCAATTTTAATACCACATAATTTCACAACACTTCACATGAAACTGCAGCTGGTCCTAAATGCACGTTTCACTGGATTTAAATCTATATCAAGAACACATTTAATATCCACTGACTAAGTCAAGGAAAAGTAGTTTTTCTGTGCATGCTGATGTTTTGTGTAATAAACATTCCTGTAATAAACATTGTGTAATAAACATTCCTGGCCCTGAAGAGGCAAGCGGGCCGGTAAGATTGGCTAAGTCAGCTGAACCTTCCTTTTAGTTGCAAGAGTAAAAAAACCTCAGCTAGCATGCCGAGCTGGGAAGTGAGATTAAGAGGAGCGCTCACGGAAAGTCTTTGGATGCATGCTTAATTCAGTAAAAATATTGCCGGTTTATTAGATTTTATAACAAAAATCATTACTTAATTTTTTTACAAAAATATATATCCCATTAGAAACAACCAGAGGTTTTAAATAAAACATTCATTTCAAGTAGTAATAAATTTAGAACTATAATTTGGGTTTCAGTGAGCTGTTCTGAGTTAAAAAGTTCCTTGACAAAGCTTTTTAATTACTCACACCTTTGCAATAACATAAAACACCAAACATTGGTGTTTACTATCCCTTTGGGAGCCACTGACTACAATTGCAATTAACAGCAACTGAATGTCGTAATGATTATGACACTTAATAAAAGGAAAATGTCCGTGCTGAAGATACGTACAGATGTGTTAAACACTGCTTATTAATGGACTTCTGTTATGAAACCAATACATCTGCAACATTTTTACAGCATTAAGCAAGCGTCCCAAGATTTTCTGTGAGCACTGTAGTTTTAAAACAGGAATAACCCATAAGGGAACACTGGATCTGTGTAGGACTCTCCAGGGGACCAAATAATCGAGACAAACACTTCCTTCAGAAAAAGAACTGGCATTTGGGTGATATCGTGCTGCTTAAAATGGCACTTTGTTAAATAATTAGGCCAGCAAATATCTGTGGGTAAGCAGATAGGTGTTTGGAGCCACTGAGAATGGCAAAGGAGACAATCTGCATACATAAGTGTCTGGTGAGGTCTGGGTGATTAGCATGCCTTTGGGGCGAGACCTCCTGACTCTGCTGACAGGATACCACAAGGAGAAAAAAGCAGACCAGGATGAACAACAGGAGAAAATAAATTAGCCTTACCTACATTGTGGCAGCATACAAGTTGCCCAGTTAAATCTGAGATGTTTGAGAATCATTTAAAACTAATTTGGTTTGTATTAATTGTTTTTTTTTTTTTTTTTTTATTTATTGGGGTGTTTTTTTTTTTAAACAGTAATGGTGATGCTCATAATGTGGATTAATTTCTGCAAATCCTCTTGAAGAACAGCAGGCATACAGTAAGCGGGATTCTTTCAAGGGCTCCTAATGCAGTAATAATTTCACTTTCCAGAACCTGCAGCTGGGTCACTCCTAGTATGAAAAGGTCTTTGCGGAAATGAAGTGGTTATATTTGTGTGCCTTTGGACACATACATCCCAAACGGAAATGTAGGAGGAAAAGGCATAATGGCCCGTGACAATCAATTCAAAATGACTGCTGTAATTCAAAGATGTTAACTTGGGATGGCATTAAGGTAGATGTTCTTAGTGCACTCATCACTGATCAGCTTCACCACTGATCAGCTTCACAACTCTGATGTTAAACAACAGTTATTAAAGCAGTGAATCTCAACCTGAAATAAAGATAAAAAAAAGCTTGTTATGACAAAGGTGAAAAAACTTAGCTAGCATTTTAAAAAGATTACTTCAACATTTCTTCAGTTAGCAGACAATCATAAGAAACTTTAGTTTTATATTTGGACATTTAACTGAAGGAAATGCACATCCTTTACAGTCAGAGATGGGAACCTTCTGGAACTTGAACTTTTGTACCATAGGTCAAACTGGAATGGCCCACTCACCAGAAGACGGATCTGAAACCACAGGGGTCCACTAGCTCCTCATTCTGTGACATCCACGTTGACTGTAAACAAAGAGAACGGGTCATAGGAGACAAGCCCGTCGAGCCGACATCCCATGATACTTACATGTGATGTGCTGCCCCATAATGAAGACGGGGCCCTGGCCAGAGCTCAGCGTGAACGTGACGGGAGGCACCAGCTCAAACCCGCTGAAACTGACCTGTGACAGCAAATGCTGCAGTTGAAAATCAGCACCTGACAACAGCCCAAGCATCACCCGCCATCGCTGCTGCTATCAGGACTAACCATGGGCAGGCAGGTGGGGCAGAGGGTGGCTATGGGCACAGCATGGCTGCGGTTTGCGATGCTGTCCTTCACTTCCACCACGTGCATCTCGTTGCTCGACTCGGCGCTGAGGCAGATCTGGACGGCCAGAAAGAAATGAGAAAAGCACAAGACTAAGAGCAGCAAGTTCTCATGAAGTCTACAAAGCAACCAGAGGTGGAAAATCCAGCTCCAGAAAGTATAAATCCAGACCAAGATTTAGTTTCAACCAAGCAGTTCATTACTTTGTGACTCTTTATACTCGACTGGTTGGTTGAAACAAAACCTCGGTCTGGATTTGTACTTTCTGGACCTGAACTTTCCATCTTTGCCTAAACCAGGGGTGGCCAATCTTATCTGCAAAGGGCCAGTGTGTATGCGGGTTTTCGCTGCAACTTCCTGATTAGATTACTAATTAGAGGACTGATTGGCTGAAGAGTCCTCACACCTGGGTTTGAACAGCTGACCTACAGGTTATTCCAAAAACCTGCATCCCTTTACGGATTGGCCACCCCTGGTCTAAACAAATCACTGTGAATTACAGTTCCTAGCTCGATGTGCTGGATCACTGGTTATAGCTTAAGGTTGCATTTAATTTCCTCCATGTAGAATCAGCAAGGGAATTCCCCAGGTACTGTAACGTACCAGGGCTGGTGAATGGTAGACATGCCTGGAAGCGAGAGAGGAGCAAGGCAGCATGACAGACTGACCGTATGGATGAAAAACTGGTGCTCGAGAAGGTCATCCTCCACCTGGAAAAGTGCAGTTTTCTTGCTGCCATTCAGCTCACAGCCTAGGGTTGCATTTAAGCCATATTTACAGCAGGCTTTCACAGTCATGAAAACCTACCATTCACTTCACTGCTGGAGTAAATTATTTTAAAGTGCATTTAACTGATAATTACTGGGACAGGAAGTGGCGATAAGCAGGGCTAAACCGGCATGTTCCCTCACTGTTTCATTTCAGGCACTTTTCATTACGCATTTATCTTGTTGATCACAAACATGCACAAGTTGCTTTTGTCTGATGTCTTCGATAAAAAAACAAGTAAAAAAATAAATAACACTTGGCAGGGTTTATATTTTTGTCAGCAAGAACAATCAACTTCCACAGTTTCCTTATGGCCTTATCCTGCCTTATGAGCTTTGCCTGAATTCTGGGTCCGCATCCTTCTAAGGCTGCACCTGAAGACCGAATGCGATACGGCGGTGCAGCAAGGCTGACCCACTTCGAAGGCTCCTTCAAATGTGCTCTAGATACGAGTCCCTTTGTCCATTCGCTAAGGATCCACCCCATCCTTCACAGTCCAACCTATCCCAAGAATCATTGCACAGAGGTAAAGTGGGCGTGTCCCAGCTAGACAATAGGAGCGGTGATTTGAGATTCAAGGATAAAGGCGGGAACAAATAGGAAATTACCCATAGGCCAGACCCATTTGGCAATACTTTCTGTTTGATCTTTGAAAGACGCAGCCTACAAAGGCTTCACCTTCCTAGGCTGTGTCCCTCGAAGGATGCAACCCCTGAATTCAGACACAGCCACTACTGGTCTGAGATCAGGTGTCATTCATGAGAGACCAGCCAGGCATAGCGGTCAAGTCTCCCATTTTGGCTGGGAAACTACCGTATTTTACCCCTCTTTCCCACCGTCCTCCCGTATTAGTATTTTCCCGTAAATCTCCCGTATTATAATATCATTAAAAAAAAATCCCTCTGCCTCTCCAAACTGAACTAGTAGCCTGGGCTGATGTTGATGAAAATAAGGTCTATTTAGCCCAGACTACCTTAAATCTGGCAAGTTATCCGGCTAAGCAAGTAATCCTGCTTCGTGAAACAGGCCCCTGGTCTGGGACATTATTTCCACACAATCAGGATGGAAGTTTTAATATGGTTAATGGTAGTTAGATGCACACACAAGAATGGAGATTCTGTCTAAATAACTAAACTTTATACATTTATCAAAGTATGTACTCTTGGATAGAAGCAATGCTACCAGGCCCTCAGTACAAACAAGAGCTTCTCACCCCAGATTACACAGACTGTGTCAAGCACAGAGGAACTGGCCGGGTCACTGAAGGCTTCCATCTGCATCGGTTCTTCACTCCTCCAGGAACTCATCACTAGCATCATAAAAGCTTCTCCGAACTGAGAACAATAAAAGAGCTAAGCAAGTCTTTGTGCAGGACACAAGATACAAGGGTATCATGTATATGGCATGCAGCATATAGACGCTGCTACTGTGGTATTTCGTCTGCAGTTTTCAGTGAAGGACCTGAACTGACTTAGCAAAAACTAATGAAACCTTAATTAAAAATCACTCGATCATTGCGGCGTTACTACTTCGGCTTGATTTAAGGCCGGTGAATTCACGCATCAGAAACTCAGAGCCCGAAGTTTTTTCTTTTTTCCACAGAGCCTTTGCCGCCACCGAAATAACTCCGTGGCCAGTGTGGTTTGTGGAAGAGAAAATATAGAAGCGAAGCTTTCCCACCGACCCTGCAGTTTCCGCAGCTACCCCACTCGGGTGCACTAATGCTAGGGAAGTGGTTAATAGAAGGACTGTCTCCCCAGCGGGGGAATTTCTCCTGTAAAATCTCTGTAACGGCTTTTCATAACATAACTTTGGACAACATTTACAGCACTCCACTTTTATAATGCAAATAATGACATGATTTTAAACACATGAATTCTTGTACCGGATATTTTCTTTGCAATTGACATAGACATTTACACCGTCAAAACCTTCACAGGATACTATTAAATGTAAGGTAGAACAATTTAGTGGGTTGATGGTACCTTAAGGACCCTCATCTGGCCTGCAAATTAATGCCTACTTGCGAGTGTCATTTTAGCGATATTTTAAAAACACACCAGCACTCGTGTCGGTAAATAAGTCAAATCTAGGCCTACATATTAAACATAGAAACAAAAAAATATTTGATTTATAACTGTTATACCCATCTTCAATATGTCTGAATGTATTAAGTTTCGTCCGTCATTCCTCGGCCATACTGCAGTTTCGGCACCGAAGGTAAACCCGATTCACATTAATAGTGTTTATGGTTGGTTTTATTAGTCTTGATGTTTCCACAATATAAATGGTCTTAGTTATTTGTTGTATTTATTTTTAATTGTACTTACCCAAGCAAAAGTCGACGGGGTAAAAAAAAAAAGAGCCCTTAATTTCAAACAATATAAAGTGCTTAAACTGCCTGTGCAATCAGATAGTTACTTAATTAATTTCTTTCAGGTTAGATTTTTATAAAGCCCAAGAGAATACGTACTGGATCTAACGGTAAAAAATAGTGTGTTTGTTTTTTCGCGTACAATCAGAGTAAATCACGTAAGTCGGTTCATGTGTAAATTTTATTTAATAAAATACGCTTGAAAACGTTTAGGAATTTAGTTTAGCCACGGGGTGGCAGTATAGGCCTATAAACAAACGGTAGGCTATATCAGTAAAGAGAGGTGTGCGGTGGGCTTACTTGAGTACGTACACATGGTTTATTTCCTATTCCGACAGACCTCTACGGTTCTCATTTTTGTACGATGTTAGCTTTGGCTGAGTTCTCTGATGCCCTTTAAATGTTTTTATCTTTATTGCCGAAATAGCTGTCGTTTATCTCTGTTAGCTAGCCGCGCTCTACGTGAGCGAATGAGGACTGATGGCTTGTGGTTAGAAACTTACTGCAGAGTACAGAAGTATATTTTAATATACAGGGAACAGGAATGGAAACTGTTACACACCGAAGCAGATTTGCTTGCTTAAACGAGAAGACGTGCTGAGATGTTCCACCGAGGAGCTGAAATTGCGCTGCAAACGACTGGTTTGACGAAGCCGGTTTCCAGGAACCGGCATGGACTTACACAACCATAGGCCAGAGATTACAAGACGGTAACATTGACTTGGCACAGTGCCCCCGGTCCCCTGGCCTGCTGACTGTCAGTGGTTACAGGGGCCGGTGTGACCGCGCTCCCCTCGCTGGGTCTTATTGGGGTGTCAGACATTTGTCAGATCGCTTTGCTATGAGTAAGCGGGTGTAGGAGCATGTGCCCCCCACCCCCGTGTCTGCATTGGCCGTAATTTCTCTGCCTTTGCCTTATTTTTTCACCTGCTACACGTCTTCAGTGCAGGGGATCTCCCGATGCTGCATAAGTTTATTTGAAGATCTCAGAATTCAAGAGAGGGGGGGGGGGAGCCGTGTTTTTAAAACTTTCCTCTTAGATCGCCAGTTTAAGTAAGCTCTAGTCTGATGCAAACGGCTTGCCCAAAGTTTAAAGAGTTCGTTCAGTGTCCCCCCTGGCTAATAGGATAGTAGTGAGACCTCTTCTTGAGTATGCTAATTTAACTGTCGTTAAATGAACGATTAGGAGTATGGGTACTGAATGAATGGCTGTAGACTGATAAGCTTTTCGATATTCCGAGCTCACGCGGCCCTGTTTCCGCTCCTCACCCCACCCGTGTTACATCAGGGTTCCCCGATTCCAATGCGGGGAGCCAGAATCCAACACAGTTTGTAGGTTTCCCTGCTGAAACACATCGTGATTAACTTAGTGCCAGATTTAGCAGGTGTGTCTGAGCAGGGACATTTGCAAAATCTGTTGCGAACTGGCCCCCCAGCCCCGGAATCGGGGAACACTGAAGCTACAGCCTCCTCAGACTGCATTTAATATTAATGAGTCAGTCTCTTTTCATATATTGATTTGGATTAAATTCAAACGTAACAGTCAATATTAAAAAGACATTAATACAATTGCCTTTCATTGGAGTTTTAGGATAGGAATGGACTTAATGAAGTAGGCTACCATATGAAACCTACTATTTAAAAATCTGGTATTTTTGTTGTTTTAACAGATGCCAGTGACTATATAAAACAATGGATTTTGTATGTCACCTTAATACGCTGAATAATTGTATTCCCTTTTTTATATTAAATTGTATACATATGGTGTTGCTGTTTCTTTGAATGAAACGTACTCTTAGATATACGTTGATAAAAGGCTCTATTTTCAGTGCTACAATAACAGAGCGTTAAGTCAGGATGTAAACACTGGTTGATTATGTAAAGGCAAGATGTTTTTTACAGTCCAGGGCGTCGTTAACATTGCTCTTCAGCGGGCAAACACATTCCTCTGAGTTGCGTGCATGTTTCCTGAGGGTGAGTGCGATGTCCTCGCTGCTATATCTGATAAGGGACCCACCCAGCCCGCTATATGACATTCACTCGTGGTTGCGTGAAGTCCCATCGGCAGCAGTTTACTCATGAGGAACATCGTTTGGATTTTCGGGAAATCGACGTAGTAACCGAGGGGTCCAGGAGGTTCTGCATAGGGGCCCCCAACGCAGGAAAAGAAGCGCTGAAATTCGGCATTAATTTTCATCGATAGGTTTACCGAAGGCCGTTCGTGGTCTTCCGTCTACACCGTGGCTCTCCTGGCTTCGGAAAGTCTGGTTTATCCGAGTGCCAAGAACAGCTTTCCACAATTAGAAATTAGGCGTTGAATAAGAAATTATGTTCCCCTGAAAGGCGGGGGGAAACCCTAAACTTAATTAAATGAGACAGTTTTCCGTTGCTAATAGCTCACATCCTTGAGACGGTCAGGTTAAGAGTATAAAACAAGTCGTTCTCCACTTTCAACCGAATACTCCACTTTAATTTGTAAATGTGGTGACTTAATCCCAGGCCGGCTATAAACACTTTTTTCCCCTGAAGGAACTGGTCGATCCATCTTCTAACCGCTTATCCCAGTCAGGGTCGGGGAGGGGGGTCTCGAGCCAATCTCAACCTAATACACTCTGGATGCTATGTATGTATCGCATACAGACAATCATACTCTTATGTGTAATTTAGAGACACTTAGCTTACCTTCTATGCCTTTGTACCGCGGGAGATCCCGGGGAAAACATAAGGGGGAGAAGATGCGGACTCGCGAGGAACCGAGACAGGATTGCAGCCCCCGCCCCCGAAGGCAGTAGTGCTGGCCACTGAGCCATCCAGAATCAGTCTATAAACTTCTGCGATACACTGGTGTATGCTGTCTTCTTCCAAATAGTGCTAATCCTTAATTAAATTATGGGGAATTACCAAATGTGTCATTTTTACTAAGATAGAATGTTACATGTTTCAGGGTGTGGGTGTACCGAAACAATAAACAAAATCCTCTGGATGAATGCCCCACGGAATATCCACGCCTCTGCTCTTTAATGGCTCATTTACGCTGGCTCCGAGCTCCCCCTGCCCCGTACAGCCGTCTGCTGTCTGCGCTGCCCTGCATGCCACACTTTTGATCGCCTTTATGGTTTATTTTGTACCGACGTTGGGGCCGCGCGAGGTCACTGTCGCTCTTAGATGGTTAAATATAATAAACGCCGGCCTTTCCACCGCCAGCACACAGACAGTTACGAAAAAGTAACAGGAATTATGTGATAGGAATCGAGTCGAACTTCCCCGGAGAATGCCCTGGCTAATTGTTTCCATGTTCGGGAGCCTGTGCGGCGGTGCCGTTTCTTAGTGCGCAGAAGGCCGCGGCGTCCGGGACCCCGTCGCTGGGCTCAGGTCGCACATTCGCGCACATTGTCCTTGCGCTTTATTGCTTGGGCATTATTTTGCAGTTGTTTGATTCATTCTATCCTCGCGCTTTTTAGTCCCATTTGTGCTGCTTCAGCATTAAACGAATAGTAAAATATTTATTAAGCATTGTGTAGGCTATTGATTAAATAAATCTATTAAATAAAACACCGTTTGATGATATTAGTTAGGCTCCGTTTTTTGACTATAGGCGTCATTATTAAGTTACACAGGATAAACTACCCAAATAATGAGTGATTGCTTTCTTCGACATTAACACTAACGATATCCGCTCACTAAATTGCAAGTTGCAAAATAGTCTGACATTAAGTGAGACTATTAAAGTAATCAATTTCAATTTAAGAGTATTTAACTAATGTTCTTTCAATTCGCATAATCTAAAACGATGAATTAACGTGATTAGTATGACTTTCTGTACCTGTTATTCAGGATCTACAACATAGGCGGTTCCATACCCTATTTAGTGGGGTTTCAGCCCCTCTATTTTTGTCACAGCCCCATCTAAAATCGCAAGATTTAAGGCATGAAATGGGACATAACGGAATACTCCTGCTAACGTCTTAAAAACAATATTCTGCACCACAGTAGTGTGTGTACGACATACGACGCAGCCTGTTTTAATATATGCCAAAGTTTATACAACACCCGACTAACTGATTGTATATATTTCCTAAATCTAGTGTTCTCTGTTTTTCATCATACGGTAATCTTATGATGTGCCCGGGATGCGCCTTGGAAATGTAAACCACTGAAATATAATAGCATAATAAAATAACACCCTTTTTATTAACTTGAATGCTCAAAATAATATTGTGCGTTGTCCTGTACATTACCTGTACAATATAACAATATACGTCTGTTACACTTTCAGACTTCATATGAATTATGGAATTTTTTTCTGAATTTTTTGCAAGCTTGAAGAAACAAATTATAGCAGCAACTTAAGTGAATGACATAATAAAGGGAGGAAAGAACAGGAACTAATGCATGACCGCAAGCGCTACTTGCCAAGTCTGTCTAGCATTTCTGAAACGTTAACATGATATTGCCATATGACGCTTTCAACAGACATTCGTAAAATCTATATAGACTATGTTTACAGCTTTTAATATATGTATTTACATATTTCAGTACTCAGACTGAAAAAGTTTACAAACACAACTTGTACAATATTTGGTCAAAAAAAATGTATGCTCCAACATCTGACAATTCTGAGTGTCTCAAACCTTTCCATCCTGCCCTCGAGACTGAAAACTGAGTTTGACTTTTAATGAGCTACAGTTTGATATTTGAAAACCCATCTCTTACATCTGAAGCTGCAGTTTGATGT